CTTCCTCTGATGCTCCTCTTCCTCTGATCCTCCTCTTCCTCTGATGCTCCTCTTCCTCTGATGCTCCTCTTCCTCTGATCCTCCTCTTCCTCTGATGCTCCTCTTCCTCTGATCCTCCTCTTCCTCTGATCCTCCTCTTCCTCTGATCCTCCTCTTCCTCTGATGCTCCTCTTCCTCTGATGCTCCTCTTCTTCCTCTGATGCTCCTCCTCTTCCTCCTGCTGAGGTCCAGTCTGTCCTGACCCTTCCGCTCCTTCCTGTCTGTTCCAGGCTGCGGGGCGAGTGGATCGTCCGCCTGGAGAACCGAAACAAAAACCTGAAGAAACTCGACAGCTTCGTCAGGAAGGTGAAGGCGGCGGCTGAGCAGCCATGAGCCAATCAGAGGCCAGAAGCAGCAGCTTCAGATGTTAACAGAAGGATGAAATAAAGAAATGTGTTCTGCTGTGAGATGACTGAATGATTCTATTCGAGTTCTTCTGGGTTTTATTGGTTTCATTTCTGAACCGATCATCTGAACAGAACCAGCTGGGTTTACATGAAGCTGCTGCTTCCTCTGAGGAACATCTCAGCAAAGCTTTAGCTGCTGGACACTCCGGAGTTAGGAAGCTGAAGCATTTCATTCAAGAAAAAAGCTTCAACTTTATATAACGTTCTCAGACCGAGAGATAGAGCTCTGACTGAGGCAGCCTCAGTACATTTAGACCTTACAAAAACCCAACACGCTCCCCAAGGGGAACCAACCCACCCCCTGCATAAAGAACTTTCTCACACTTGAACATTTGGAGGAAAAACAGCTTGAGTTCATGAAGACCGTTTCCTGTCAGGTTAATCTATCTCTCACTGGTCAGATGGATCTAATAACAGCAGTCCTCTCCTTCATGCCATGAAGGAAGCTGTGACTCATTCTGATTTCTCATGACCTTCCTTTGGATCCTGTGAGTCTAAGAACAGACAAACCTCAACATTTTTCACTCCACAACACATACAGGCAGAACACGCAAGATCTGCTTGGGGTCCCGCCCCTTCCTATGACATCATCATACAGCAACTTCACTCGGACAAACTGTATTGTACAAGTTTCTAAAGAATCTAGATTTGCTATTATTTCACATTTTATTGGCGATCTAAATTAGCCGAAAGTAGAAAACAATCATTGTCCGTCTGGAAGGAAAGACTGACTGAACTCTGCTATTTAACAAGGAGACGCTAAAAGTTTCAGCTTATTTTATTCTTTATATTAAGATCTAAGGTCAGAGGAGGACAAATGGAACATCTTAAAAAATGACTTTCATAGAGATGTTAGACGAATTAAACATTTATTCTACCCGTAGAAAAGGAACGGTTGTTGTTGACACGAATTTAAAGGTAGCGTAGCTTAATATGGCTAACTGAGCGAGCTAGAAGAGGCTAACCTGTTAGCTACTGAGCACAGCTAGCTACAGCGCTACCCAGCTCTTTATATCATGCTCTAACAGTTACTTTGTTCAGCAGAAACTGATTTTTTTTTTTCAGCTTTTTTTTATCAATCAGGTAAAACTTCATCGGTCATTAGACACGGTAACGCTACAGACGCTCCCGACTCGGCACACGGACACTGCTTGATGTTATCGTTGTCCAGGCAACCAAATAGTTTTATTTCATGTGGCAACGTTCAGCCAATCATGTTTATTATTATTATAATTATAACACCTTTATTTTTACAGGCAAGTCATTAAGAACAAGTTCTTATTTACAATGGCAGGCGGACAAGTGGAGTAACGACTTAGGAAAAGAGAAGTAGGGCTTAAATAAATACAGTTTTATACATTAGTTATATATTCATAAATACAATTTAAAACACAGCAGACAACCCAAAAATGACTGTAGAGAAGCAGCTGCAAGTAGCGTGTAGCATAACGTTATTAGCATGCGCAGGGCCCGAACAGATCCTACAGTGGCCCTAAATGGACCCACATGGTACCGTCAGAGGGCCCATATCTGCGCCCTTAAACAACATTCAGAACCAAATGGGTTCTGGATGTTCTGGTCGTAGTATCAAACAAAGGTCCAGTTGCCTTGCAGCACTGGGTTTTATCTGGTCCCATACTGGGAGCCTATTAGTACCAATCCAAACCAGATCAAAATGGGCCCTATTACACTGGTTTGTTCAGAACCAACTGGATCAAAACGCTCTGCAGCCCGGGTCACTGAGTTCTGACCCGTCTGGTTTGGGTAAAAGGCCCAGAACCATCCTGCGTGTGTCTGAAGGTTCTGCTTCCAGCCTGAAGGTTTGGAAAATAAAGCTGAGGAAACAGTGACACCCGCTGGTCGCTCAGAGAACAGCAGCTGGGGTCCGGTTCTGCTGAAGGTCAGCCAGGAGTAAAGAAGATGAGGGTTTGGTAAAGATCGGACCCAGGCCAAATGTTCAGAACTTTCAGACCCAGCAGAACCGTCACCTCATGTTTCTATAAATATCTTCTGGCTATCTGGCTTTTAAATCGGACGGTTCTAAGAGGTTAGGGCCCAAATATCAGGTTCTGAAGCACTTTCAGATGCCCTTAATGGGCCACAGTGTTGGCCCTCAGGGGCCGATGTCCCACATGTGTCAGATCTAAATCTGATCCAAATGCACAAACCCTCAGGTGGTTCCAGAACCAACGAACTGATAAAGGACAGGATTAGTGTTCAGAAGCAGGTGGGGTACCAGCCCGAGTCTGGGGGTCCCCTGACTTTAGGCCCCTGAGTTTCGGGGGGCCCCTGACTCTGGGAGTCCTTGACCTTGGCCCCTGAGTCTGGGGGTCCCTTGGCTTTGGGCCCCTGAGAGTGGGTGTCCTTGACTTTGGGCCCCGGAGTCTGGGGGCCACTATGATTTGAGCTCCTGACTCCGGGGGCCCCTTAACTCTGGTCCCTAAAGTCTGGGGGTCGCTTGTCTTTGGGCCCTTGAGTTTGGGGGCCGCTTTAATTTGAGCTCCTGACTCTGGTGGGCCCTGAGTCTTGGGTTCCCTTTTTTTGGGCCCCTGGGTCTAGAGGCCCCTTGACTTCGTGCCCCTGAGCCTGGGATCATGGGGTTCTGCTGGGCCCCCAGGTCCGGTCCGTTATCCTGAGCAGCATCTTCCTCTCATTGTTTCAGAATAAAAGCAGGAAGTTGGCTTGTCCTTTCACAATAAGAGCATCAGTACAGGCTCTGGATGGGGAACAGAGAAGGGATCTGGGATTCCTGCAGCAGTCTCTCCTTCAGCGCCGGTTCCTGGACCTCCATCCAGACATAGCGAGTGTTCTCCACCGGAGGAGGCGTCACCGCCGCCGGCCACTCCACCTGCAGCCCGTCCTCGTCCCGCTGCGCCCGGTCCGGCACCAGCGCCACCAGCGTGTTGAGGCCGATGCCGTCCGTCTTGCCGTGCTGCCGGCCGTTGTGCTGCAGGCTGATGACGCCCAGCGTGTTGACGTCGTGGTCGTAGTAGGACGACGGCAGGGCCTCCTGGACCACCATGTTGGACGCCCAGGTGACGGCGTGGGTCCTGAGGGCCGCCGCGGTGGGGAGGTGGGGGGCCGGGGCTGCAGACAGAAGGCAGAACCAACAGAACTGAACCGACCTGAGGAGCTGGTTCTGATTATCAGAACGCCATCACAGAGTCTACTGCTTTCAGGGACCTTCAGGCCGCCGCCGGCGGCTTCAGAATCCCAACAGAACTTTGCACCATGGAGGACGGTTCTGCTTACCACGGACCACCAGGACCCAGATCTGCTTGTCGGCGCCGACGAACACCAGGAGGATCCTCTGGACGACGTGACGGCAGCTCATGTCCAGAGGCAGCGTGACGGGATGCCACGGATTCCTGTGGTACCTGAAGGCAGCACAGAGCCGCAGGTTAGAACTCGGTTCTGTACTTGCTAGTGGGTCAGAACCGGGCTGAACTGAGCCACATTAGATCCACTCTGAGCTTAATCTGGATCAAAGAATCCCCATTCACACTGCGGTTCTGATCCAGATGGTTCCGGTCCAGTTTGAATTATTTGAATCATCTTTTCCACTTGAGAAGTTCTCCATTATAGAGCAGATGGACAGACGAAAAGATTGTCTTAAATGTTTACATATATATATATATATATATATATATGTATATATGTATATAAATAAATAAATAGGAAAAAAATAATAAATATATATATATCTTTACTCCATTTAACGATTAATCGATTACTAAATTAGTTGACAATTATTTCAATAATTGATTAATCGATTGTTTCAGAGATTTCTGAGGTTTATGAAAGAAAATAAGTAAATAAACAGCAGAAAACTCTTATAGAAAGAGGAAAGTAGAGTGAGATTAGGACATGACACATAGGGCTTTAACTAGCTTTTGCAAATCGATGAATCTGCCGATTATTTTTTCGATTAATAATCAGCCAAAGGTTCCTTAAAGAAGACTTTTTACAAAATGAAACCAGGTGAAACTAAAACTTTTCTACTTGTGGATTATAGAGCAGATTGACGGATGAAGAACTTTCTATTATTTTAGATGCAAAACGTAATTGTTTTTATAATCTTGGTATAATTCCTGCTCTGAGTCGCTCTGTCAGCTAAAAGCAGGTTTTACAGTCTCTATACTGCAGTTAAGGATTAATTAATTACTAAATGAGTTGACCATTATTTCAAATGATTTCAATAATCCATGAATCCCAAATCCAGCATAAATCCAGCATGCGTTACCATGGCAACACAGCAGGACCTGATCTGTTCTGGTCCAGTTTGAGTCATTCTGACCTCATTAAACCCAAACAGAGCTCCTGGTTCTTGTGTTTAAGTCACGCCGCGTTCTGGAAACCAGCCCTCATGGTTCTGGTTCTGGACCGCCTGCTGTCTGGGTCCGGCTAGCAACAGAACCAGCGGCGGTCCCACCTGAGTCCGTGTTCGATGAGGCGCAGGATGTCCTGTCCTCGGAGGGGGAGGGACGCCTGTCTGTCCCACCAGGACGCCTGAAGTGACTCCTGGTCAGCCGCCGTCAGAGTCTTCATGCTTCCTCCTGACAGACAGGAAGCACACTCTCAGGCCCCGCCCACCTGACTCCACCCCTCCCCCCAAACAGAACAGGACGCTGTGACCTCTGACCTGTGATCCGGGCGAGGAAGACGAAGCGGATCCACTGCGGTCCCTGCTCCTGGATCAGCAGCAAGGTGATTGGCTGGCAGTCAAAGCCCGCCTCCTCCTTCACCTGCGGACATCGCTCGCCGACATCAGAGGGACTTTCAGGACGGCGTTCACCATGACAACAGCTGCAGGACTCACCTCCCGCTTCAGCGCCTCCTCCAGGCTCTCCCCCACCTCCACCCTCCCTGCTGGCAGGTACCACTGCTTGTAGCAGTCCTGCTTGGCCTCCTGCACCATCAGCACCTCCTCCTGGAGGAGGAACAGCAACAGCTCTGCCGTAACGGCGAACAGCGGCGCACGCTCAGCCTTCCTCACGTCCTCGCCTTACCTGATCGTTGAAAACGACGCCACAGACGATGTAGGTGACGTTCTTCCTGAGAACCGCCGGCTTGCTCAGCTCCAGACCCACATCACACAAGCTGACCTCTGACCCCTGGCCGCTCAGCAGCTGCTCCACCTGCTGCTCCACCTGCTGCCGCTCCTTCGCCGTCAGCTCCATGACTGCAGGCAAACGGACTCCAGGTTAGACGCGGTTACCAGGGAGACGGTTAAAGGAATAAACAAAGAACACACGAATAAACAAGATGAATTATGATCTGGCCCAGTTAGCTGGACTGAACCGTATATATAATTAATAATCATTTTAATGAGACTTTTGTTCAGAATTAAACCAGATGAAGTTAGAACTTTTCCACATGAGGAGTTCTGGATCATAGAGCTGATTGACAGATAGAAAGTGTTTGTTTTTGTCTTAAATGCAAAATGTTTACATATTTGTTTACATTGATTCTCCAGTTAACGATTAATCAATTAATAAATTAGTTGACCATTTTTTCAATAATTGATTAATCTGATTGTTTCAGCCCCCATGGAAATACAGCATGCGTTACCGTGACAACACAGCAGGACTTTATCTGTGACAGTAAACTCAGCTTAACACAAAGACTTTTATTTGACATTTATAGAAGGAAAAGAGGAAGTAGAAGAAAACCAACTAAGAAATGATCAAAAACAGAAAAGGATGAATCCTAGTTTTTGGAGAGAAGTTTAGAATCTCTCCAGGTTTCCTAAGAATCTCTCCAGGTTTAGCTTCACCTGAATTTTTTTTGTAAAAAACTTTCTTTAAAGAACATTAGGCTATCTGATCGTTAACCGAAAAGATTTTCAACAGATTAATCAATTTGCAAAACAAGCATTAGTTGCAGCCCTAATATATATAAGTAATATTTTATATTTATATATATTAGGGCTGCTTTTATTTTTCGAGTATATATATATATAACGCTGTCTTTAAGTGTTTAAAAAGTGTCCAGAATGAAGCTAAACCGACCGACCTGTCAGTGATTAAAGTCGCTGCTCCATTTAGAGCGGAACTGGAACATGGAACTACTTCCGCTTCCGGTTTGCTGAGTCCGCTTAGTTCTGCTTAAGCTATTTATTTTATCTTTTTCTTTCTGTCTCTTATTCTTTTGATTTCATAAACTTTAGTGTTTCGCTTCTGTTTAATCTGTGGTAAAAATAAATTCATTTAACATTTCCATGAGACACCGGAAGTGACGTATCCTGTAGTTTTTGTGTTGTAAGCGAGAAAAGGTCACGGAGGAAGTTAGCAGCAGCGGCAGAACCAGCAGCTGCAACATTTCACAGGTTTACTGGTTTTACTGGTTTAAATCTGCACCGTCATTAAACAGGTGAGCGGACCTGGTTTGGTTTTTAATTCGCTGCTTTTACAGGTTTTATTTATATTTAAAATAGACAGATTTAATTCCTGTATTTCACTGTGATTTGAGGAAAATGGAAATCGTTAATAGATGTCTAGTTCTGATCAGATGGTCTTTTCTGTGGGAGTTTAAAAAATAAAGCAGATAAAAGATAATTTCATGTCTGTAAAGTCAGACTCTGTATCCATGGAAACGGAGGAGATGAAATAGATTTTTCTTCAGGATTATGAGGAGATGTAGAGACGAAGCTTCAGGAACTGCGGCTGCAGAATCCTGCTGCCACCAGTGCAGAGCTTAAACTGGCAGCAGGTGAACATGAGGGCCTCCTCAGACCACCAGGAGAACCTTCTGTCCCAGAACGTCCTTTAGGATCCTGATCCTGTCCTCTGAGGCGTTGCTGCTCCCAGGAAGTGAACTTCCTACAGATCCAGTCTGCATTTAAAAAAGTGAGAAACGATCCAAGAACTGTTTGCTGATGATCTACGGACCTTCAGATGAATCTGGAAACTTCTTTCAAATTGAGCTGGAAGATGGAAAGAACTGAGGCGTTTATCTTTAGAACCGTTTTGTTGTTTCTCTAATTTATCATAGTTTGTGTTTTTTTTCTTCTGATGCTTTTAGAAACGTCTGCTGCTGATAATCCAGATCGGCAGGAAGTGGTGCTGCGTTCAGGGTCCTATGTGTCCTCCTGTCAGAGCTGCAGCAGACTGAAGGAGCTCTCTGATTGGCCGGCAGCAGCTGAAGCCGAGGAGGAGCTGATCCATGAGGCAGGATGCCAGCAGCTGCTCCCTGATCAGAACCTTCTCCACCCGCGGCGCCGACCCCCACCCCCCTGAGATGTCCCGGCACAGCAAGCTGCAGAAGCAGGTCCTGGCTCTGTACCGGCAGTTCCTCCGAGCCGGGAAGGAGAAGCCGGGCTTCATCCCCAGAATCCGAGACGAGTTCAAGGAGAACTCCCGCATCAAGAAGACGGACGTGATGCACATCGAGTATCTGTACCGACGAGGCCAGCGGCAGCTGGAGCAGCTGAGGGACGTCAACACCAAGCAGCTGGGATCCTTCTCCAAAGGCAAAGAGCCCGGCTGAACTGGACCCGATCCGGGGAAGCAGGAACCTCACAGACTGGACCAGAACCCACCCGGCGCTCTGATAGCATGAGACGTAATAAATGAAACTTTGAACACCTGAACATTATTCCCGGTTTCTTAAACGATTGTTCTGAACTAGTTGGTTCTGATTCCACTTCTTCTGCTGTTTCCTCTTTGCTGAAGGAGATTCAGTGGAAGTGGAAAACATGGAGGAATGATGCGATTTTATTTAAGTCTTTTTATGAGAAATAAATCCATAGAAAGAATCAAAGGCTCCTGGTGTGGATTTGGAATAAAGACGACGATGTGTTTAAATAGTGTTTCTATGGTAACCAGCTCAGGTAGGATGGAGGTGACCAATAGGATGGCAAAGATAATGATCATGTTAAATTTACAGTTATTAGAAAACCTGAAAATTAAAGAAGGAAAATAAAATAGTTTTATGGATTTAGAACAACAGAAGAAGAACTACGACGTGGAGGACGCAGCAGAAAACTAAACCGATTAAGATTCATTCAATGTTTATGCAGAACAAATAAAATCAAAAGACACATTATAAAGATGCTAAAATCTACATATTTGTTTTAACATTACAGAATTTGACTTTAATCCAGCGTTCTGTCAGACCAGTATACCTATAGTCAATAAGCGTGTGCAAGACGTCAGATTTGCATTCCTTTAATTTTATACGAAATAAAGACTTAAAACTACCTGAACGGGCGTGTAACCCTTTAGTCGTGTCAGATCAACAAATGCTTCAAAAATAACAGAAGGTAAGTAAATCATAGATAAACTAAAGAGATCATTTATTGGGATAAACTAAAGGGATAAACCAAAAAGATAAACAGGTGTTGACTGTATTTAAAAAAAAAATATTTTATGCATATTTAACAAGTAGAAAACAATGACAGGGCGAAATGTACATGGATTTCAATTCAAAACAACCTCTTAACAGATCAAGTCAATTCGTGAAATGGAGCATCATCAATCAAGTATATAAATAATGAAGATTAAATAATACAGAACCAAGACACCATAAACATTACACCATTTACACACCTGAATTGTGTCTGAAATAAAATTAAAACAAAACTGTACAAAAGGAAAGTAATAAAATAATAAAGAATAATTTTATATCAACTTCAAGCTTTCCAATAAGGATGATACTTTGACAGCGGGTTTGGAATTAGTCAGTCTCAGAGACTTATAATATAAATCAAAGTCATTTTTTGTCTTAAAATACCTACAACTGTGTATGAAAAATGTTCCCATCCGTATAAGGTAATTTCCTAAATATTTAAGAGTCTTATTCTCACTTTCTAAACCAAATAAAATACTTGTGTCAGATAGAGGTGACAAAACAACGTTCTTACGTATTAGCCAACTTTGGAAATCTTTAGTTGGCTGTATGCCGGGTGAACTCCCTCTCTGCCGGTAGGTGGCGGTACTGATTCCTACCAGCAGCTGTTCGCCTCCAGAAGAAGAAGAAGGAAGTAAACAGGAAGTGTTTTTTTCCAGCAGGTTTCCTCTTCGTTCTTTAAAGTTTGTTTTTTTTTAATCTTTAGCAGCTTCATTTGAACTTCAAAGGTTTAATTTGATCAAAGTGTGATTGATCTGCCGCCATGTCGGGTTCTGGAGGAGAGATGAGCAACGCGGAGCTTCTGCAGCAGGTTAGAGAGAAAAACCTGAAACATGAAGAGGCTGCTTTTATTTTTATTGTTATTATTGAGCTTCTGCTTTAGGTGCATCTGTCTTTAGATAGAAAATAATAAATAATAAAAACTATATTTATGGATTTTCTTGTCTAAAATAATCGACCGGAGGAAAAAAATACCAAAAAAATTCATTCTGCAGCAAAACCTTCGCTTTATTTCTCTGGGTTTTTATCAGAAACGCAGAAATATCAAATGATGGTTCTTAAGATTCTCAGTCATCGAGGTCAGAGTCGAAATTAAAAAAAAAAATTCAATCCACTGGACTTTGTTTCCAAGTTTGAAGACGTTTCTCTTCCATCCTGGAAGATTTTTCAATTCAAAATGTCAGAAATAGCGTTTAGTTCCAGGTTTGATAGAGTGGAGCAAAAAACTAAGCCTTGTTTTTGATTAGAAAACATGCAAATAGAACCTGGAAAACCAGATCCACCCCTCCAGATTATAATCCCGTCGCTTCTGGTTTAACAGCCTGTTTTCATGGGGGCACAGAAAAGCATGACACCAAATGACAGGCCAAAGGAGAGCTGCATGACGGGAAACTTCCATTCAATTAGCTTGAATTAAAGTTCTAGCTATATTAATATCTATAATATTAGATAAAGCTGTTATTTGGAATATAAGGTCTATATACATTCAAAATTTAGGAATGTATTTCTATAGCAACGATTCACATCATGTCATCTCAGGTCATTTTCCAGTTCACCAGATCATCCAGTCAGATTGATTCAAAGTTTTCTATCTAAGGAAAACCAGCTGATTGCATCGACTCATTGACTCTTCAGCAATCCCTCACACTAAGCATGCTTGTAGCGACAGTGGAGAGGAAAAACTCCCTTTGAACAGGAAGAAACCTCCAGCAGAACCAGGCTCAGTGTGAGCGGCCATCTGCTGAGGCCCACTGGGGTTCAAGGAGACAGAAGCAGACATAGAAAAAGAAGCATAGATACAACCAGCTCCACAGGCGGACCCGTCCAGGAAACACACAGCCAGGCAGACGAGCTCCGAGCCAGCTCCCATGTCAGAGGATGAAGAGAGCACATCCAGTTAGTCACAGTCAGAGAAACAGGACTACACTGGAAAACAGGCCAAGCTCCAACATCTAGAAACAAAGGTGTTGATGGCAGCAGCACAGCTGATATTTCTCTCCAGGATGGAGTCACAGCCAAACAGGAACAGACCAGATGAAGCTACTATGAGAAAAAGCAGAGAGAGCAGAACGTTAGAGATTGAACTAACAGATTCTGCAGAGTGGGAGAATAGAGAGAGAATGAAGCAGAATGATGAAAAAGGGGTCCCTATGTCCTCCAGCAGTCTAAGCCTATAGCAGCAGAACTATAGAGATAGCTAAAGAAGCTCAGAACCCAGCAGAGAGCAACATGTGGATTCCTCCAGATGTTCTGCTGATGTTTGCTCCAGACCAAAACCTTAGCCGGTACTGAAACATGGAGGTTCTGCTGCAACCAGAACGGACCCACCACCCAATGTTCTGGTTGGATGACAAAATGTGTGAGAATCAGCTCAGCTGGTTCCAGGAACCCGAGGAGGTCCAAAGCAGGGGTGGTTCTGGTTCTCCTGTTGGTTCTCGTGGTTCCGTTTGGACTCTGCATGTGCTCTGGTTCTGATGGTTGTGTGCGTCCTGCAGGTGGCGCTGCTGCGGTGGCTGTCCTCCCAGTCGGATGCAGACAGGAACATGCTGGCGGCGCTGACAGGAGTCCAGGTCGGCAGGGAGCTGCTGAACCGGATCACCGGGCAGGACAAGGTGGACGCCTACAAGGTGAGGGTTGGGTCAGAACTGCTGCAGCCGGACCGGTGCTGTGGGGCTTTGTGACGGGGTCTCTGTGCTCCTCCTCAGAGGGACTGCATCCTCAGCATCGCAGACTTCCTCCAGAAGAACCCGCAGGCCTCGCAGGCCCAGATCAACGCCCAGCTGGAGCAGAAGGTTCTGCTGTTCGCCGCTCGGGTCCGAGCTCTGGAAACGGCTCCGCTCCTCTGAGCTCTTATTCCGACAACCAGAACCACAGCGTCCTTTCACAATAAAAGCCTCTCCTTCTGTCGCCTTTGTCTGCAGTAAAGCCTACAAGACAAATGCTGAATGCTGAATAAACTGGAGCCGATCGTCACTCAGAGGTTTGAAGCGAATCCCTGAACTCCTTCAGGGTTCGCTCCAACCGGGATGGAGACGTTCTGATGGATCCTTCAGCCTCAACCAGCTTTACTGCTTATTGTTTGACTTCTGATCCAGTAAATAAAGTTTGAACCGAAGGTGAAACCATTCTGGACTTCCTGTGGTTCTTCTCCATGCAGAGGAGTTAAATATTCAGGTTTATTATTTCTCTCCCGCCAATTCAGTACAGCCAATCAGAGGAGATTCTGCAGTGAGGTAATCTGATGTAGCCCAATCAGAAATGAGAAATGGATGCAGCTGGGAGGGGCCTATCATAGAAAAAACGTAGTCGCCTCATTGGACGCTGCCAGTGACAATGCAGATGTGCTTATAGGGCATGCAATGGCGTAACGACACAATAGGCCAGTAAGCAACTCAATGTGGGGGGGGCCCATATCAAGTAGAATCTTTAATATAATTTTAATCAATAAATTAGTTTAAGGGTTTTCTTTGGGAGATAATCGAGCCTTTTTAAGGATTTCTGACCAAACTTGTTTCATCATCCATTTTATCATGAACAGTTTTCCTTCTGGATCATTAAAAGCTAAAGATTCTGAAACTGGGTTTAAATGGAATTATTGATATACAGCAATAATACTTTGGCTTTTAGATTGGCACAACAGTTTAAGACTTATTAAATAAAAGTCTCTCACTTATTAAAATATTAAAGCGGGGCATTGAATCAGATCATCGGTCGGGACCCAAAGGCCACGCTGGAAAAAAGGGAAAAGGAGGTAAACATTTCTGGCTGGATAATCAGTAAGAAGTTAGAAAATATATAAATGATACAAAATGCAACATGAGAGAATATAGAACCACTAACGCTGATTATGTTCTGGAATTTACCAGATCGGTGCCAGTTCATGAGAGATGGGTGCGAGGTAGGTTCACTGGGCTTAACACTCCAGTAAAATTGTGTTAGCCTGATGCTAACATGTAATACTGTTCGTTGTACGGTGCTGTGATGAGCCTGATCGCTGTTATTCTGTTCTGCACAGATAAACGTCTCCTGGCCATCAACATAACGCAGAATCGAACCACAATATATGAAAGCGGCTACCGAGGTTACATGAGCTTTTGTCCAATTTGAGGCTTCATATAGTGAGAACCTTCTCATTGACTTCCATTCATTTTCTATGCATTCTACATCTATTACTGGTCTATAGATCCAACCTTAGTGCTTAATCTAAGCCCACAGTGAGGACCAGTAGAAGGTCCGCTGACGTTGAAGCTGGGATCAAAGACTCGGACCGGTTCCAGCTTGTTTATTAAATTACAAAGGTCATGAACTCGGCCATCATTTCATCTCTGGATCAAACACACACCCACGTTGCCCCCGGCAACACAAAGACGTCACAACAGCCCCAGTTTGAGCGTCGCAGAACCAGGA